TGTCCATAGATGTTTGCCCTGTCGTTTGTGGGTGGGCGTGCGGGGTAGGGTTAATTGGGGTGGGGGGTGGGGGTGCCCTTTGAAAAAGTTTGGCAGGGAGGAAGATTTAGTGGTGTGAAAGAGATGCACTTCACTGTGTTTTTTTTTTTTTTTGTTTTTTTTTAAATAATATATATATTTTTTCCTTAATTTCAGATATTAAAATTAATAAAAAAACTCGAAAGCCTTCCACTCGGTTTAAATTATTATTATTCCAAAAATTGTTTATTTTATACGCTTGTTTGGATCTTTTATTATTTTTTTTTTTTTGACAAAATACGCTTGTTTGGATCTAAAAGTTGATTTTTTGAGTTTGTAATATTTGGATATTTCAATAATAAAGAATGGAAAAAGAATCTATTATTTCAATTTAATGCGGGTAAAAGTTCGATTTTACATTACATTGCACCAAAAGACGAAATCTCTGGTCCCCCATCCCTTGGCCCAAAAAAGATTGATGGAGGAATGTAAATCATGGTAACTCAACGGTTCGTTAAGGTAGCGGACCCGACCTAGTGCCCACAATGAACCAACCCTCATGAACTACAGCTGCCAGAATTCGATCATATGACATTGCACCAACTTACCATCAACTTATTCAGTTGTGGATAAGTACCAAAAGAGGAATCAAATATTCTTTAATATATTAGGAATCGCAATTTTAGCACGACAAAAATTAAAATCTCAACAAATATCTGCATAATAAGGATTACATATATCTATTAAAGTTTTTTAGTTAATATATAGATTATATATATCTATTAATTCCTTTTAGTAATATTTTGTTTATTGAATGATTATTTAATTTAAAATTTGGTAACTCTATGCGCCTCATGTAAATGCACCATTTTAGTGTGCTTGGCCTTGAGAAAACTTTTTAAATGGGTGTTGACAATGGTATTGAAATCCATGATGAGATTATTTTTAATGAATGGGATTGAGATTTGAACTAGTTATCTCTTTATCTGAAAAGGTTCATGATATATATGTAGCACGAAAATTTCAATTGTTTAATGTTTTTGTATTTAGTACATGTTTTGTGTTCGATACCCGAGGATATTTGTTGGACACCTAATGAGTTGTTTTGCTATTTTCAAAAAGTTAGAAACATGTTTGAATAACAAATGTTCAAATATTTTTGTTGCCTTCCTAATTGCAAAATTGATAGTATTAATAAAATTTATTTTAAATATGTTTGTATAAAAATATTTTAATTTTTTTATATATAAACAAAAACTTATATATGTTTATCTATATACTTTTAATATTGAAATGTTCCCTCTAAGCTCATGTATTCTTATTTTGGGACATGCCGTTTTTCTATGTCCGTTTTTCCATTTTTTCGTATTACCGTTTCTGTGTTTGTGCTAGACACCGATAATCATTTCACCTAAATCTTATAAAATATTAGTGAAATAAATTGTTTAATATTTGGTCATTTGGTGCCACTACGATATTATACGCAACATATAGTACTAAACGAATATGAGGATTCATTTTACATAAAATCATAGACATAATTAATCAAACTAGTGAATCATGGGTTCGTGAGATGCTATACTTGGTATAACACATCAGATAGTTCTGAACGATATATATATATATAAATAACTATCCACCAAAGTCCAATACTTTATATATTATATGTAGATCAATGTTTCAAGATTACCCAATATATTTTATTGGATGTAGCATCTACAAACCTATATCATGCAATATAATTTTGTAGGTTTGAATTAAACCAATTGAATGATGGGAAGATAAAACAGAAAGTGAATGCACTTAATTTAAAAATTATTGGTGCATGTTAGTCAATGGGTGCAATTTACTTTAATCTTTTTTTCATTACCTTTTTAGCAAAACTAACCAATTTTGTGATTAGTGGAAAAATGTCATTTTCATTTAGCGCTCACCGTTTTCCTAACAATTTCTTAAAGAAACAAAAAAATAATGAAAATAATTAAAAATAATTAAGGAATTGAATAATATGAATATAATTATACTAGTTTCTATATATATAAGAGTCTAGAAAAATTACTAACTACTTGATGTAATGCTTATTTAGAAGCCTAATGATGTGATATATGAACTACTAATTTTTTTTAAAGAGCCGATTGATAATAACACTATACTAATTTTGAGATTAAAGTCTATGGTTTGAATTATGGTCCTCCACATTTTTTTCCATTTTGCAACACTATTTGAACTTTATCAAACTAAAAATAATTATGTTTGAGATAAATTTGACGTATGAATCCAAAATATTGATGCGATGTAAAACAATACTAGCTCGATTTTAAATATGATCGGTAGGATTGGAGTTGAATAATCTGAAACGGTTTTTGTTTCCTCTCTCTCTTTTTAAGGGGAAAATTTAAACTACTAAACTTTGATATTAGATTTTGCAAAATCTTATTCAAAAATAGTGTTTGAAAAAAATAAAAATTTAAAAATAAATTTATAGCATTTTTCTTCATCATAATCTGTTTTTTAGTGTTTGCAAAATCAGGTAAAAGATGTGCAGAACAATTGAATTAAAATCGATAATCAAGAGTGAGTAATCTTATTAAAAGTGAGAGACTATCACTCTCTCAGTAGTGTATAATAGCATTATTGGCCCTCCCTCAAAATTGTTTTAGTACATTCCCCATGTGAAACTAAAATTATTGCTCTTTTAGTGCTAATAATTTATTTGAATTAAATAAACATAGAATTGCACTTTTCTTCTTCCAATAAATGACAATATTAAAAAAAAAACCGACAAAAATTCAGTTTTCCTCCCTCAACTTTACACCGATTTTATATTTAGTCCCTTATATTCGAAAAATTTATATTTGGTCCCTTATGTTTCAAAAATTCGACAATTTTATTCATTTCCGTTAATTTTTAGTTAAAACTAATAGAATCAAGCGTTTGCCCATCACTGTATTAACTGACAGAAATAACGAAAACTGTTAAGTTATTAAAATATAAGAGACCAAAATGTATTTTTTTGTAAATATAAGAGACCAAATATGAAATATGTACAAACTTCAAGGATGAAAAATTATTTCTCCCAAAAAATGTCAGTTGATTGGGATGGTAGTGAGATAAGCAATACGGAAGTTGGTGCATTAATTTAATTAAAGGACATAATACATTGAAGCCATGTACGTGTATTAATTAATTAATTAATTAAATATAACAAAAGAAAATCTTGGGGAAAAATAAAGTTGAACAATCACAGTGTTTTATAGTTAATTTTGTTAATTGCACTTTAAATTGGTACTACCCAACTTTTCTTTCTTCTCTAGTACCAAAAAGATTTCAAGTACAATTTTAGCCTACTTAATTAATCATGAATCTATAAAATATTTTATTTTATTTACAATTGCTTTGTGCATTCGGTAAACCATTCTCTCGTGCAATAAACCCTAAACTATACAAAAGGCAGAAAAACATGTAAATCGAACTGACCAACCTCTATACGACGAGTTTGTAGTTTCTTGGATCAGTTAATTTTATATTAGTTAATCTTATCTTAGTAACCAAATGAGATCTAAATGTTTAATATTTTATAACATGTAGGAGTCCTGCAACGGATCGTTATTTGGAGTTTTATCCGTGTCATGCTTGTATCTAGTTTTACTTAATTTAGGTTTAGAAAATACACTAAATCATATATATCACACTTGCCCTAGAAATAGGAAAAATAAAATAAAATCGCAATAGATGGTCTAGAGTTTATATCAATTGACTTAAGTTCGAATCTCTTTGCCTACAGTCGTTAGATCGAATTTGCCACACGTAGTTGTCTTAGTGTGATTTACTTCTTAGAGTTTATACGGGACTGTAGATTTTTCCAATGCATCTAAATGTTTAGCTGCGGATTCGTTCACTAAAAAAGAAAAGAAATACGAAAATTAGGATACCACTAATGCACGAATTCTAACATTAAGTATCAATCACTACTTGATCACTTATTGGCATATTTTATAATTAAGTCACTCATGTGTCATTCTTGCATAACATCATATTTTTGCACTCAAATATTTATAACAAATTATTTATTCTTTTAAGATAAAAAAAAAGAAAAAAAGAAAAAACTTTTCAACGCCGCACTTTATTTAAAAAACACTAAAAAACAAAAATCAAGTGCATATGTAACTTTTTTCCTTTCATTACATATGTAGCTTTTTCTTGTGCGGCGAGGAAATTAGTAATGTGGATCATCTGGTTGGTTCTGTTGTATTTCATCTTGTATTTCAATTTAATTTTAATAAAAATATACGAAGCGTATATGGAAATAAAACTTGAAAATACCGCAAAGGAATTTTACGGACTTGGGCATGTAACCATACTGCAAATTCAACCTATCGATCGGTGGAAGTTGGATTGGAATTCTCGAGTTCAGCCTGATTATGATCTATTGTTTTTAGATTTTCCGCAAAAAAAAAAATATTTTGAATTTTTTTTTTTTTTTTTTTTTGAGTAAAAAATATTTTGAATTTTGAATATTCCATTTTAGATCTTTCAATTTGTGAAGTAATTAAAATAAATATTAGATTCTGATTTATGAACAAATTTGAACTTTCGAAAATATTTCCAAAGATTCCAATTTTCTTCAATGGAAGTTACGGTTAAAGCATCAATATTGTTATATATTATAATTTTTATATTCTGGGACAATTTTTTTCATTCAACTTTCTAAAGTTCAGATTTCCAATTTTTTGGGTCTTTTTGATATTGCAAATGAATTGCAATTAATTTTCATTTAGGAAAAAGAGAAAAGTTTGGACTTTATTTTTGTGAAAGTGCCAATTACGATATGATTTGTCTACAAAACTAAAGGCAAAGCATTACAAAAAGACGGTTGT